CTGTTGCACGCCAAATAAATGTGCTCTCACTAAAAAAAGATTGGTAGAATATACTATTCCTTCACGCTGTATTTCACATAGCGTGAAGGAATGGTAAATTCTACCAATCTTCAAGTCGCTTCTGCCAGAGGAATGGTTACCTATACCAGTATATAGTAACGTTTACCTTTCTACTGGCAGAATTGACTCTGAATTAACGCCGTGTGAAATACAGCGCAAAGGAATGGTAAATTCTACTAATCATTTATTTCCGTGCATGGGTGAAATCACTCAGTTGGTTGCATCTCTCGCGTGCAAGAGACTCATTATTCATGACAAAATGGACTCCAAATACATTTGGGATGATTTAAAATTTCGACAATTTTCTGGCTGAAGCTCTCTGGACCGGACCCTCCTCCCACCCCCTTCCGTTTAAAATGTCTGGATCCTCTTGTGCCGGGTGCAAACAAGAGCCATGCTGCCGTGATAAGGAAAAACACCGTATGAACATTCGAGAGTTGCCAAATTTCCCTCTATAAAATGTTAGTTTTTAAGGCAAGTTATGAATATTTTTCCTTGAAATTTTCAGGAACTTCAGATGAAATTGCGATCAAGATTATCTGAATAATTAGAGGGAAAACATTCATAAGTTTACCAGGAAATTTGTGTTTTTTCAAAGGAAATTTGGCAACGTCTGAAGGTTTATACGGCGTATTTCCTTACAGCATGCGCAAGCGACGAAGAGTGATTGATCGATCGGAATGAAACTTGCTCATTTATTCGCGTGAGTAAAATCGGAATGATGCAGGGTGCATGTCTCATTACGATGGAATGGCGATACCAGCCGGGGCCGTGGCCGCCTCATGCCCAGAGCCCAATGCATGCCGACTTTACGAGACTCTTAATGAGCGTTAATTAAACGTCCGCAGACGGTTAATCAGAATGAGACCGGTAACGTAAAATTGGAACGATAATAACAGAGCTCCGGGAGGATCTGAACGTTGACAACGCGCATCCAGAAGACAAACGACCGTCTACTACCCGTCGAGCCGCCGACTTGGTGGTGGAGTCGCACAGACAGAGTAGAGTACCTCTATAGGAAGAGTATGGACATGTATGACCCCAAAAGGGTAGGCAATCTACGAATTCAAATCATCCAGAGTGATTTATAATCACAATGGACCACTAGACAAGGTACGAATTTACGGATTCTGATACATGTTTCCTAATCAGAATTTCACGTAAAACACGATTCGCGCAACGAAAATTACGGAAACCAACTCCTAGCGGAGATATTAACATTTTTATTTCACATTGGTCACGAGGAATTTGAACTGCCCGCTCACAAGAAACTCAAAGCTCTACGTGAGTCAAATCGCCTACTACAACGGTTTCAGCAAGCTTCTCAACCGAGTAATGTTCATTTCTCGCCATGTCTTTTTCAAAGTATAAGCAATTTGTTATAGCTGAGCCAAAGCGTCAAGATTGAGGCCAGATTTTTAAATATCGCATAGACTGCCATGATAACGTTTAGCGCGCGATGTGAATCACGTAGAGCATTGAGTTTTCATGAGTGGGTGATTTGAATTCACGCATCAAGAATCATTAAATATCTTCGGAAAAAGTTAATTTCGGTAATTTTTGTTGTGCGCATCGTAGTCTACGTGAAATTTTAGTTAGGTTACATGTATCAGAATGCTGAAATTCGTACCTTGTCTAGGGTCCATTGTTGGGAACTGTCGCTGTTAAAGCACGTATTTGACTTGGTTTTTGCATGAACTTACTCATTTTTGCGGAAGAATGCTTACTTATGAATTTTCTTGTCCATTTTCGTTTGATATTGGAGTCCAAAGATTGACAGTGACATTTTTCGTTTTCAAAGGTTACCTACCCTTTTGGGCCCTAAGAGCTACATATTTCGAGTTGTCCATACTCTCTCCATATAGGTACTCTAAGACGGAGTATTCGGGGGCTTGGAATATCACGGTGATTGGAGGAATGGAGCGGCACCCATATCCCCCCATTGAAGAAACGCGGTGAGCAGAGGAGTTCATTGGCGGATTTTGGAAATTTCGCACGGTGGCAACCGATTCTGACGGAGTGGACCACCGCACTGAAAAAAAATTCTCGGCGTTTTTACCAAGGTCCGTTGGTACCTTTACCATCTCACTTTTTTTACCAATTATTGGTAATTTTACCAAGACAGACAGGTAAGCTTACCTAAAAACCGGTATTTTTACGGTTTTTTTCAGGTAAGAATACCACTTATATTGGTAATCAATTCCCGGTAACTTTGCCATTTTATCTCGGTAATTCTACCACAGCCGATAAAAAATATTGGTGTTTTTACCAAGGTCCAGTAAAATTACCGAGAAAGTTCAGTAATTTTACCGAGATTCTCGTTAAAATTACCAATTCCATAAATGGTAATTTTACCAAGAAAAAACTGGAATCAAATAGAACCCTGAATTCTTGGTAATTTTACCCTTTTCTCAGTAAATGCACCAACATTTTTTTTTTCAGTGCGGAAAGAGTGGAAGATTAAATACCACGATAGAGGTTTCCTTACGGATAAACAAATCTCGGCTGTGCAAACTCAATAGTTCAATTGCCAGAGGACTAATGCCCAGGGCCGGATTTTCCTAGTTGCCGCCCATAGGCCGCCTGTATTTTGCCGCCCCTTCTCATTCGTTTTGAAACATCAATAAAAACCATCAAGTGAACGTGCCAGCGGGGGAGGGGTGCATAAGACGCGTTTACTCGTGTTGAACACATTTTTTGGGAAAGCCCTGTCAACACTACTAGCAAAAGGCCACGGAACTTTGCGCGAAAGTCAAGTTTCGTAAACCTATCTCTAATGGTCAAGGCCTTCCATTCATAAGAAATGAACGGAAAAATTATGAAAGAACAAACACAAGATTTGGTTTAATGGTTTTAACTTCCGCCGCCGCGCCGACCGCACCGTGTTTGGCGCAATGCGTGAAGTATTCACGCAGTCTTGTAGGCGCTATGCGTTTCTCGCTGACCGCACTGTGTTTGGCGCAATGCGTGAAGTATTCATGCATTCTTGTAGGCGCTATCCGTTTCACGCTGACCGCACTGTGTTTGATGCAATGCGTGAAGTATTCGTGCAGTCTTGTAGGCGCTAATATGTGTTATGTGTTACATGCCGATTGCCGCGCCGAGGGCTTCTCCTTTTCATCTCAAGTCCTCGTCATCATTTCTCCCTAAGTCGCACCGTTCCAAGCCAAATTGTGTGTTTGGTTTCTCTCTTAACTCGACAAATTAAAGGTGCTGTCTCTTGTATCACTGAAAGACGCCAAAATTATATATTACTATACATTCAGGAAATGAGAGATTTTGCAGCCTTTTCTCGTTTGTAATTTTTTTTTTTCTAAATACGATTTTTCTTTATGCCTACATTTAAAAAAATTGCAAAATTTGCCGCCCCCTAGATTTGCCGCCATGGGCCGCGGCCCATATGGCCACCCTCTTAATCCGGCCCTGCTAATGCCGGAACCACGCGCTGAATGTAGGGAGCTGAGTGTGGTGGTCATTGATCCGATGCCTGAATTTTCCTTTTTTCCTCCAAGAAAAATTTCAGAAAAAAATTGCTACTAAGCACATGCAGTTTGATCGTTTGACCTTGGGACAGCAGTAATGAGGATATTCTACCCATGGGACGGATTATTAAAATCGATAAACAAAGCGATAGACAAATAACGAGAAAATGGAGCGATTTTATTGGTCGAAACGGGTGATTGTCACGGACTAAGGGGGTTAGTTAGTTACCTCCTTCACCATTGCAACCACCCGCCTCCGCTCATTGGATTACAGGCGAATCCAAATGGGGAGGGGAGGGGGGAGACGGCGTACGCCACCCCGGCCCCCCTCCCTTTCGTCCGAAAAAATGAGGAAGGTAAAAGGGAAGAAAGATAAAAAGAAGGAAGGAACGAAGGAAAGAAGAAAAAAGGACGCTTATTTTTGGTAATTATGCATTGAAGACGAAATCGACTCTAACTATATACTAGATGTTTTAAAGTTTTGACAGTTTTCTGGGGACCCCCCCCCCCTTCGAAGTGTCTGGATCCGCCAATATATCGATGGTGAAAATTCCCAAACCACGTATCTCCTTTGAGGTGTTTAAAAATCTCCGCTCCTGTTTTATTTCTTTTAAAGGAAAACAAATCAACACCATTCCTTCAAAAATTATCAGAATTCGTTCCAAACGAAGAAGAATATAAAACTCACGGACATTTTTGAGGATTGACGTTGACACAGGCGAATCCAGAGATTTGGCAACACCGGATTTCCTTCCGGAAGCTTGTACTGAATAATCGATTCGCGTTGGAGCACCTGGCCCTCCCAAGCCAAGAATCGATACTTTTCCATAGGTTTAAATGGAGGAAAGACAATGTTGCCAGTTTGCCGGATCCGCCAATGGACATTGAGTAGTTCTTCATTTAAAAAATGAAGTATGACAGGAAGTCTGCAACGTCGCAAATCGAGATACGTGGTTTGGGAGTTTCACCATCGATATAGGATCATTTTCATTTTTCTTTTGCTTCCTTTTTGTCCATCAATTCCAATAATGAGCCGCGGAACTTGATGGAAGCCGCGTTATTATAAAACATCTCGAGTTGGGGGTGGACGTGGCGAAACAGAGGGTCGAGGAGGGGGGCGCGGGGAGGGCGCGAGCGGGGAGAGGAGAGGAGAGCAGGCAACGGTCTCGGTCGCTGTCGGGGCAAAAATTCGTGACCAGCACGAGCACCGCGGCCGCGGCGGACGAGACTCTAGGAGGTATGACCGACGCGCCGCGCTAACGGACATACTGCCGAAGAACGGGAGGGAGTCAGAATGTAGGTCTTTGGGTCTTGATTGGTCAGCTGAGACCTTAGGTGTGGGAGCTAGGGAAAGAGAGAGAGAGAGAAGGCGCCCACTGCTGCGGAGCGACAGAGAGGCGCCCTCGCCCAGTCGCCGGTCGCTTGCGGGAGGAACAAGGACGTGAGACACGGCGCGAGCGAGTGTTTGTTGTGTACTTGTGTAAGCACTCCTAACCTCAGTTAGTTGGTTACTTCAATTTGTCATACCGACCACGCGGCCCGAGTCCTCGCGCTTTCCCGCTTTTGGACCCTCCGCGCTTTCCCGGCTCTCATCACGCCCCGGCGACGCACGTTATCAGTGATTCGGATTTTGTGACAGTGGCACGGTTTTTGTGTGCGAGTGTGTGATTGTGGAATTCTGTGATCCGTGTTTGACTTGGAGTTTGTTCGTGCTGTGGAAATTCCACGCGGAGCCTCGGCGAATTTAGTGTTGCTCGTTGTTTGGACCGGTTTAATTTTTCGCACAGGGACTAAGGACTAAAAAGGATTGCTTTGCTTCAGGTAAGAGGAGCCTCTGAGGTTTGATATGCTTGATTCTCGCTGGATTTGATGCTGCACTGGAAAAAAAAAACACATCGAATCTAGAGTCCAGACTCTTGAATACATTGACAAGAAAAAATACTCTTGATTCAATCGGATTTTTAGTTAAATCAAAAGGAAATCCGCTCATGTTAAGAGGCTCGGTTCTTGATTTAAGCAAAAATCCGATTGAATCAAGAGTATTTTTTCTTGTCGATGTTTTTAAGAGTCTGAAATCTAGATCCAGTGCGTTTTTTTCCAGTGTGTAAAATAGTGTATTTTCTTTGGAAAATAAATTAAAAGTGCGTGACTTCAAGAAAAAAGTGCGAAAAACGGAAAAATTTATTGAATCAGTTGTCTCATACGATTTGAGCATGTTTTTATTGCATGCTGTTGACTTATTATAAAAAAGGCAGCTGGTAGGGTACAAACAATTTTAGTATTTTTGGTCTTAGAGATGAAATCCGTTTTGAACTCTAGGATGAGTCGTTTTTGGAATACTTGAAATTCACCGATGCAGGCATTTTGAAATGGCCCCCTCCTCCCCGAGGGTATTTTTGGAAAAATTAAAATCCCTGCCTGACCTCATGATAAATTTTCTGGAAAAAAAACTTTTTAAATTTTCTCCAGGTAAGCTCATGGCCGAATAGCAAATTCTCTTTATGGTGGTGGTTGGAGCGCTTCAGCGCTATCAACAGCTAATATTGTTATTGGTGCCATTACATCTCGCGCGAAAAGCTCTCGTGTCATTTATTTCTCGATCAATTGCTTGTTCAATGAAGGTCTGTTGGTGTCATGTATACCATTTTCAGTTGAAGATAATGAACTATTTAGAAGAATCATTCAGAAGTTAGGGGAAGAATCGCTACATGACAATACTGCATTTATCGGAATTATAGTTTTTCAAACTTCAGGGATCTTCCGCAATTCAAAAGTTTTATTCTAAAAACGCCGAAATTTATTTCGATCTACAGAGGCTGAAATTTCAATAGATCATAAGGTTTCACGTGTATTTTTCTGTCTGAATTCGGGACAGATTGATACTGTGATTTACCTCGAAGTCTTGGAATTTTATGAAAACAACTGAAAGAGCGCGCATGGCTGAGCTTGAAACCGGGGAGCCGCACTTGAATTCTCAATTTTCGGTGATTTTTTCAATAATTTCAAATGAATAACATTTTCTACCTCTGTTGAAAGATATAAAGCTGCAAACTTGCCACCGCATTGAAGAAAAACTCAGATTGAAAGTAAAATCGTCTCATTTATTTCATCTTTAATTAATCGGACGAGATAAAGTTTAAACAGTCAGTCTAAAATTTCGAATCTAGTCTTAAACTAGAAGTCAAATAGTTTTTGTATTATTCTACTTTCCTCTCACGTATGTTTGCCGGGTGTGTGCCGCTCTGTGGAATAATGATCACATTTGGCGCGTTTCTATCCGCTCGTTCAAGTCACCACGTTATTTAATTGTACACACATCCTACTCCTCTTCCCGGTCTAGTTCACGCAGATTTTAAGGGTTTAAAAATCTTCTAAATTTCATTTTTGTAACTAAAAACAAGAGGGACGCCAAAAAACGATATCCGGTAGGACTTTTGCCCCTGTAACTCTTTTTAATCAGGATTTCGAGATTCAGTTTAATGAATATACTGGGGTCATCGCAGTGAGTGAGAAGGAAAAGAAATCTTGACGCGAGGTGAAATTGTGTGAATTCTTTGTTTCTGAAATATTAATTCTTAGAGTCTGAAAGATGCCCAATTTTTAAACAATTTTGAGTACCATTACAGAGATTAATGCGCTACAAAGTGGGACTTAGATTTACAAATCGGGATTTTAACTTTTTTAATGTTTCAATCACTTCCATTAAAAAAATGCCCATCATTACAATGTGACGAAATAGTAATGCGGGTTCATTTTGGTGTACATTTTCGAAGTTTTGATGTCTCTTTGGGAGACATTTGTCTTTACAAACTGACAGAAAGTTGCCTCTTTGAAAAAAAACGAAACTAGTAGATGTATCCTTAGCGTGGAGTTTAAATGAGATTTGTCGCAGGGTTAAATTGCGGGAGTGATTTTCCAGCGATTTCCCGCAGTCATCGTCCCCGCACCGTGCGGGGCTCTCGCACTCCTGCACCAAGTTTGCAAGGAAAGTACATTGGTAAAAATTGAATGTTAAAATGGAAAGAAGGCAATCATGGAAAATCAAAAAGCCGCATGAATTCAACAAATATTTTAAATTAAAAGAATACGAACAATTGAGTGAACTACAAAGTATCACAGAATTTGCCATTACGTCTTCATCTTCTCTCAGTTGATCTTGGAGCTCTGCAAGGATCAAGGACCTCACTTCCCTTTTGGCACTACGATTAGTATTTAGTTAATCAATCAATATTTGTTGCAACTTCGTAAGTGTGACTTTTCCTTGCGACAAAGCGCGGAAAAGCGTCCCGTAGAGATAAGGACTTAAGTCGTCAAAATTATCAAAGGTCATGATATCTAATTTGAATTTTGGCACCTAAATCTTTAAAAAAGTCAATAAGTCTTTCATGCGTGGCAATTTGATTGGTATGACAGTAATTGGTGAACTTTATTCATTAAAGTTACTTAAATAGAAGAATACCGAAATATTCATCTTTAATGATTGAAAACTGCACAGAAAGTGTCATCTCATCTTGATCAAGATCAATGATTCCTTGCAAGATTTCAATTCAACAGCTATTCATAAGAGGATGATTTCAATATTAGTTTAGGCAGTCGATGTGATGCAATTTTCATATAACATCCATCGATTCTGGAAACTTCGATTTTTAGGAAATTGATGAAATAAATCTGAAAAGCATTTTGCCTGCCAGAAATAGTCCTCTGAAATGAGACTTATAGAAAAGTTTTTTTTTCCACGTCCCGCCTGCCAGACTTGTTTTTTGGGGGTTTTTTGGTTCAAATTTTCCCCCTCTTTGTTTCTTGATATGGGAGATGAAGGTGGCATTTCTTTAAAACTGTCTAGGTTTCCATTAATGTACCCTCAGCCATATTTCAAACGAGTCGTTTCTCAATTTAAACAGCATATGAAAATACCTCAATTACAAATGAATATGGGAAAATGTGAAATTAAAGGCTCGACAATATTCCGTGAATTACGACGGAGCCACACATTCAAGTTTTAAGGTTACTTGATATGGATCCAGTTATTTATTTAAAAATTTGAAAAGTAAATAAGGATTTTTTCTTTGAATTTAAAACAGAAATTTATGCGCGTTTGCCTTAAAACCGAGATCTTATTAAACCTGTCTTTAAAAACCAATCAATTATGTTTAGAAACGAAAATTGTTCGAAAGCGTTGAAACATATGAATGAAATAAGAAATATGAAAATATTTCAATTTAAAATTTAATATTTCCTGCTCATGCTTTGGAGGTTCTTATTGGTGCATCATTCCGCCGTTACTTTAAACCTTTCCGTTTTTTTCAGCGTTTCGGGTGATTAAACAATTGCTAAAATCAAATTAAACTGTTTATGAATGCAGCTTTTATTTGTGCATTTTATGTGAGAACGCTGGGAACCGAAGAGTTCTTGCCTTGAGGCTGTAATCCGTCGAATGACCGCCCATGCAGTTGTAAAATTTCGTCCTGTCTGTGTCTTTACGCACTCATCAATAAATAAAAGGACAAATCCCCTGACAGTATCAATCACTGGATGAAAAGTAACTCAATAAGTGGGTATAAATTTTTTACCGGATTATCGATTAAAAAAATTCTTACGCCAGAAGTGAAAAGACGAGTATTTATTTGCCAGTGCATTGTTGCTGAGAACGTTAGCTCAGGCACAATGAAAGGATTATAACGTCCACAATAATTTCGGATTTGCCGAAACAAAAAACCTTTTTTTACCTCCCTTGAACTTTTATGCATGCTTTTTTTTTTGGTGGTCATTGATACTGCTCAGGGATTCATCTGCATGCATTGGGCTTGGATGCCCGACGACAAGAGAGAGAAAAAACTCCGGAGACGCGATATATAAATTAAAACGAGTTTTATCTGCAGTAAAACAAGTCGGGAAGAATTGCATATTTACAGATTATTCTCGCTTCACATTGTCGAATAAAGTCAGTTTAATTTCTCATCGCAATTTTTGTAATTGCTGAACTCCGCTGAGCGATTTAAAAAAAAGAAGGAACACTAAGGAGAACCGTGTAAAAAAAATATGATGGTTAATAAATGCATGCGAGAATTGATGGCGATTTGTTGAACGGTTCCATGAAAAAATTTCGTTCGTATGCCGGCTTCGCCAGGCTATAACTTGTACCTGGTTGCTCCAGTTATTTTATCTCCTCAATTTTGATAATTTGATATTGTAGAAGCTGTTTCTTTACTACTGCACCGAATCCGACAATTCGGCGTTTGCATAATGTTTTTTTCGCACACTGAATATTCAGAACACTGTCGAACAAAGAATATAATTATTTTTGTACGCATACGTATAATTTTTGTTTGTTTTACTTAGACACATCGAGAGAGGTAACTGCCATAATATTAAGAAAAATAAAATGAGAAAGAATGTAAGTTTGTAGGTGATCGATACACACATGGCGGTGGTGCACAGCTGACAAACATGGTTAGGAGGGTTCGCGTTTAGGTTTTTATTCATTTAATTTGTACACTGCATGCCGCGTTGTCAAATCTCTAAAAAATTCTTGCATTGAAGTCGCTGCCCCAAAAATGAATAGCCTGTGTAAAAGCCTAACTTCTCCTAGATATTCTAGATTTGTAACAAAACGATCATCTAGTCGAAGCTAACGAAATTTGAAAAAAAAAAAAAAACTAAAGCTATGTCAGGTTTAGGTATGCATCCTTTCGTCAATAAATTTCTGTTACAATGGCGATTTTCGAAATCAGCATAATGTCATAAGACTCCATTACAAATGGTGGTGGATGCATGATACCAGGACCACGTTTAAAAATTGACTCTGCATCGGTATATTATAT